CCGGCGCGCCCCCACGTACCCTAACGCTCTCCCGCGTCCCCCCCCTGCGCGCGGACTCGTTCCCACTCCCCTCCCCCGCCGCGCTCCGCACCGCGTCTGTCTCAGGCCCGGCCGCGGCGGCGGGAGAGCGGAGCCCAGTCTGGGGAGGGGGCGTGGGGCAGCAACTGTGGCGACAGGCCGGTTCCCGCGGTGGAGGTGCGGGACGGAGAGAGCAGGGGGCAAGTGAGGCGTGGAAAAGGCACGTTTGAGACGGATGGCAACAACTCCTGCAGCCAGCAGGGCGCAGGACGCAGCGAACGGCGACACCCCGCCCTCCTCCCTCGCCGCCTCGGCGCTCGCCGAGCTCGAAGGCGCCCGCGCGTCGGCGCACGGGGGTGGCTGAGGAGACCCGGGAGCTGTGCGAGCGGCGGTTTCTCGGGGCCCCGCTAGGCCCCGCCCACCGGGCCCGCCCCCCTCCGCGCCGGCCCCGCCCATCGAGGTCCGCCCCCGCCTCCTCCAGCCGTGGCCCCGCCCACAGAGGCCCCGGTCCTGCAGGTCAGGCTCCAGCTGCGCCAATGGGATTTTATTTTGTTTTTTAATTTGGCCTGCTCGTGAGGAAACCTCTGCATTATGACCAGGAGTTTCGGGATTTTTCACTTCGCTCATAGCTCTGTGGAGATGAGTTTAACTTCCGCAGTCTGTCTAGCGGCAAAAACTACTGGAGACCCAGATGACGGGAATCGAGACGGCAGAAATGCATTAGGTAGTAACCCTCCAGGAGTGAACGGACTTCACTGTGAGAAGCGTTGGTACCTCACTCGTGACGGTGAAGGAGCTGCATCTTACCTGGGCACTTAGAAATCACTGTGTTCTCTTAGGCCCCGGTTTTCGCTCTCGAAAGTTGCCAGACAAAACATTTTCGGTTATTTAGTGCTGCTATGCGATGGGAAAGCTAAAAGAAGAAGAAAAGATCTAAAGTCAGGAGTGCCGTGGGAGGTCCTGAAAGTAAGTTCTGCCCGCAGGTGTCTGAATGTGCGCCTCTAGACAGATGTCTGCGTGTAAACTGCGTGGCCTCAAACAGCTATTTGTGCAGAAGAAACGGTTTTTAATTAGTCTTTTAAGTGGGTTAGTAGTTTCTTCAAATAGTTAAAAAGCATGGAGAGTAGAGCAATGCCCCTAGTTAATTTAATAACGTTTCATTTTAAAAATAAAATATATGCTATCAATTTAAAACCCAGTATGAATCCATATTAAGAAGGAGTAGTTCTGAAACTATTAGTTTATGACCATGGAGCTCTAAGGGGGCTGAGGGGCTTCTCCAAGACAAGTCTATGCCACTCATATCCTTGGATCATAGCCCCTGATGCAGTGTTGCACGTGGTTCATTCATTCAATAGACGTTTGTTAGATGGCCACTGTGTGCAAAGCATGGTGCAAGGGATTCCACGGGGAACAAGGCACTACGCTTGTGCTCAAGCACTCTACATGCGCGGGAGTGGAAACAGAAGAAAACTAGCCATCAGAAGGACATGACATGTGACAAGTCTGCGAGGGCTGAGGTGTGAGTGGTCTGGCTTGGAAGCATGAAAGCCCTGCACAGTAGTATTTTGTTACGGCTGGAGATGAGAGTGAAGGAACAAAGCCTCCCGATTAAGACTCTAGACGGCCTTGCCAAGAATTGGACTTCTTTTTGAATGCAGTTCGGGGAAGGATATTAAACTGAGGAGTCACCTGCTCACGTTTGCACTTTAGAGACATCCGTGGCAGGAATGCTGGGCATGTGGTTGAAGGTAGGAGGCCAGGAGAGCAACCAGGATCTAGTTATGTCCAGGTGTGTGCCGGTGAGGCATCTCTAGGGCAGTAACAGGAGGCAGGATCACAAGCACCCAGGAGGTAGACTTGCTTGAGCGGGAGAGAGCCGGAATGGAGGATAAAAGGCTAATGCCTGTGTTTGTAACTGGGGCAGCACAATGATGAGGAAGGGACACAGGCGGAGAGCGAGTATTCCAGGAAACGTGATTTCGATTTGGGATATGTTGAGTTTGAGCTGCGTCTGCAACATGCCAGGAGAGGTGTCTTAGTTGGCAAATGGAACTACAGATCTGACACTCAGGATAGAGTGTCAGTGCATGTCAGGTTAGGTATTTTTCAGGTCAATGTGAGTTTGAGGGAAAGTGTAGGGCAAGATACCAGAAAAGCTGCTTAGTTACCACCCAGTGACCTCGAAACCATAGTGATCAGAGAAATTGGAGGCAACACCACCACCTGGCGCAGGTGTTCCTCACTAGCCTAACTGGTTTTCATTTGCCCACATTAGAGAGGGCCATCCCATAACCAATATTAACTAACCCACAGTTAGTTATGGAACGTTCACAGAGGACACTGGGTCTGATGCAGGGTCCTGGCCACTGTGGCGTTTACCAGAGCATTCAAGATAGAGGTAGCTCCTGCTCTCAAAATAAGGGATTCAAAATAGAGATATAGAGATTGTGTGTGTGTGTGTACACCTGCACGTGTCCCTGAGAGTTACCTCTTCTGAGATGCCCCACCTTCCACATTCATAAAGGCACTGCCCATATCACAGAAAACCCCTTTTCTTCAGGCCCCCATCCTTCTGGGACACTTTTCTGAGATGGCCCCTAGTATCCTAGAAATGCTTTTTCCGCGTCCGGCTTCTCTGTTCAGTGGATTGCTTCATTTATGCCCCCAAAGTCTCTCTGGAGCATCAGAGAGGTCTCTAGAGGACCTAGGTCTTGGGCTGCACTGCCGCCACCAGCCACAGATGCACAGAGTCCTGCTGCCTCAGGAGCAAAAGTGGTGCATAAAAGTAGGGCAGAGAGAAGATGCGCCCCTTAACCCCGAATCAGCCATGGTGCCCCTTCCTGCATCTACCCTCAGAAGCTCTTCCCCCTTACTTATCACGATCTCCTCTGAGGCTTGTCCAAACCCCGCCCTGCCTGCCAGACTGCAGCTTTGGTCTGCCTGACCCAGAAAGCCCCCTCTCTTGGCTCTCTGGACACCAGCCTGTGGGCTTGGGTTTCTTCATGTCCTTCCTGCCCCACTCGGCTCTCTGGGCATTGAGGCGATCTTGCACGCTCAGATTTTCAGCTGAGCTTCCTGGGGTAGTGATCACATCTTAGGCATTCTGTTTCCCAGGGCCTAGTGTTTGTGGAAGAGACTGATTCCACTGCTTCTGTGGTTTGACGTGACAGCTCAGATTGTTCTCTAACCTCCTGCTGCCTCTCTTTGGCTGTTGTCTCCCCCTAAGCCCAGGTGTGCTTACAAGCCCCCCTACTCTGTCCACATCGCTAGCCCCACCACAATCCCACCCCTGCCCCTCACCTGTTCTAGCGAGGGGCTGCCCATGGCCCGGACTGGACAGTAACTTCTTTAAGGCCTCCCCCGAGGCCTTCCCCACCTTAGAAGTTCAACTCATTTGCTCTCTCTCACCTTTTCCTCGCTTCATTTCCACTGCAAAGTCATTAAACACTCATTTCTTATTGAATTTGGATCTATTTATTCATGTCCTACAAGTTTGCCTGCAGATTTGGTGTAGAAGGGTAGGGGAGTAAGTTTAAGTCAGATTACACTGAAATGAAATATCCATGTGAGGAGTGCTGACCACAGTGCCTGGTCAGTCTAGTCGTCACCAGGTGGACAATGATTTGATGTGAGGTGCTGTTCAGTTCTGAGGATC